AACTTCATAGGCTGGGGCACAGCCATGGCTGGCGTGAACGAGGACCGTCAGGAGCCACAGAGAGGAGACAGAGAAGGGAGGAACTCTGGGTGGAGGCTCTCCTCTGGAGGTCTGCCCTTCCCCTGCAAGCCCAGCATAGCAGGAAGGGGAGGCCGAGGACAGAGGAAGCAAGGAGGGGAGGACGCAAGGGGAAACCAGACCAGGCCACAGCTGTAGAGCCCAAGCACCCCCTGCACTCTACAGAACGCCCCTAAGGGACCTGGGCCCTGTCTGCTCCAGGACACTCTGACATAAGGCTGAGACATATGGGGACCAGCAGATGGCATAATAGCTATGTCGCTGGACTCCCATGTTGTTGACCGTGGTTCAAGTCCCGGACCTAGCAGCTTAAATCCACGCCAGGCGCATGCGTGTGCATGCCCAAGATCCCGAAAGGAGACGAGAAGAGAATGCAACGTGGCCATTCGCTTCGGGGATCGTTTTCTCACTTTCTGTCTCTTTAACTCTCTTTGTCTCTCCAGCAAGCACACATACCTTACAGCAAGAAAATCTCTTAAAAAAAAAAAAATCATGGCAGTATGTGTACATGCATGCCCAAAATCCCAAGAGGAGAATGGAGAAGGGATTACAGTATAGTCATCCCCCGTTGGGTAATTTCTCGTGGTCTCTCTATCCCTAGAGCAAAAATTAAAAAAGAGGCCCAGCAGGTGGCATGGTGGTTAGGGGCGCTGGACTCCCAAGTGGCTGACCAGGGGTTGAGTCCTGGACCTGGCGGCTTGCTTTCTCACTTTGTCTCTCTCTCTTTCTCTCTCTCTGGTCAAATTAAAATAAGCAAATAAATAAGTCAAGTTAAATAAAATAATTTTTAAAAAATAGGAAGTACACATTTATTTTAAAAAAAAAACAACTGGGAAATACGACATAGACACACATGTGTTCCAGGTCATAACATGGGTATAGTACACATGACATACTTTGACATGGACCAGAGACTATCTGAGAGGACCTCAGGGAGGGCTGCTATTGTTCCCTCCAGACACTCGAGCAGCCTCCAGGGTCCCCAGACAGAGTGGGCCAATCAATCTAAGATCAGGCAGCCTTCACCCCAGAACACCCTGGCCATCCGCTCCCCTCCAAATTACCTTCCAGATTAGGATCCTTCCTAAGGGAGGGCTGTGGGGCAAGGGGCAGCCAGGAGTACACAGAACTAAGCGGGAGGCCTCGGTTTGCTGTGTGACCTCGGGAAGCTGTCATGCCTCTCTGAACCTGAGTTTCCTTATTTTGGAGATTTCCCAAGGCTGGGAGCAGAAGCAGAGGAAGAAGCTGGGGGTATAGACTCCCGGGAGAGATACCTGAGGCCTGGAGTAGGGGAGCGATAAACTTAGGGTGGACCAACCGCAGGACGGGGAAGAAGGGCCCCATCCACCAGAGGCTGACGTCATGGAAGTGGTGGCTCAGACTCTCCATCAGCTGCATGCCCTCCTCGTCACTCCGCACCTGGGAATGGGCAAGGCTCGCTGCAGGCCCGGCAGAGGGTCTCGGAGTCCCAGTGCCCACTGCGCCCTGGCCCCCAACATCTCCCCAGCCCGCTCTCCTTCTCTGCCTGGATTATTGGTTTACACATCTTGTGAATCAATTCCTTCTGTGTCTCTGTCTCTGGGTACCTCTCTCTGTCCCCTCACTCCTTTTTTTTTCCCCTTCTTTTTTTAGAGAGATGTTTGCTACGGGGCATATGCACTTGCTGGAGACACAGAGAGAGACAGAGAGACAGAAAGCGAAAAATCATCCCCTTAGGGGAGATGACCATGCCGCAATCCCTTCTCCTCCATTCTGCTCTTGGGATCTTGGGCACGCACGCACACGTGCCTGGCATGAGTTTAAGCCACCGGGTTGACTTGAACCCTGGTTGACCATATGGGAATCCAGAGACATAACCATTATGCCATCTGCTGGTCCCTGTCCCTTCACTCTCTTCATCTCTCTGTTTGTTTCTCTAACAAGTATATATACATGTTGGATGGATAGACAGATAAGGATGAGAGATAGATAAATAGAGGGGTGGAAACACAGGAAATTGATGGATGGATCTGACAGATGGTAAGTAGATAGACATTGATAGATAGATAGATGATAGATAGAGATGAGTGATAGATAAAAATCAACCCTTCCCCCAAGCCCTCTCATTCTCCTTCCGCATTCTCACCCTGCTCACGCCACTGCACTGAACTCCTCAAGGCTCAAAAGCCAAGTGCCCTGGGGCCAGTGGTTAAGATGCTGGATCCTAATCTGACTGACTATGGTTTGAGTCCCAGCACCAGCAGCTTGAAAATTACTTCAGGTGCATATGCATGCAGGCCCATAATCCCAGTAGGAGAACAGAAGAGAAGGGACTGCAGCATGGCTATCTCCCTAGAGGGTGATTTCCTCCCCCTCCTTTTTTCTCTCTCTCTCTCTCTCTCTCTGGAAAATGCACACGTCCTATGGCCAAAAAATAAATAAATAAATAAAACTATTTTTTCTTTTAAAATAATGATTTAGGGGACCAGCTGGTGGTGTGGTGGTTAAGGCGCTGGACACTCCCACATGGCCAACCACAGTTCGAGTCCTGGACCTGGTGGCTTGCTTTCTCGCTTTCCTTCTCTCTCTTTCTCTCTCTCTGAACGAATAAATTTTAAAAATAAATAAATAATTCTTTTAAAAAATAAAAGAATTATTTAATTTTATTTTTTTATTATTGTTATTTAATTTGACCAGAGAGGAGAGAGACAGAAAGAGAGAAAGCAAGCTGCCACGTCCAGAATTCAAATTGTGGTTGGTCATGTCAGAGTCCAATGCCTTAAACACCACACCATCTGCCGGCCCCTTAAAAAAAAAATCTTAAAAAAAAAAGCCAAGTGAGATCAGCAGTTGGCGTAATGGCTATGTCACTAGACTCCCATGTAGTCGACCACAGTTCAAGTCCCGGACCCGGTGGCTTAAACTCATGCCAGGCATGCGTGCATGCAGGACCAAGATCCTGAGAGGCAAATGGAGGAGAAGGGATTGCGGTGTGGCCATCCCCCCCGGGGGGGGGGTGTAATTTCTCGCTTTCTGTCTCTCTCTGTCTTTCTGGTGAGCACACGCTCCCTATAGCTAAAACCTCTCCAAAAAAAAAAAGCCAACTGCTCACGCCAGCCCATGGCTGGTGATGAAGGCAGCTGAATTCTACATGGAATACCAGAGCTAGCAGCGTGAAAAACATGGGGGGCAGAAGTGAATGAGTGCCCAAAATTCCAACAGGAGAAAGAGATGGAGGAGAAAGGATTGCAGCATGACCGTCCCCCTTGGGGACTCTCTCTCCTGTGAGTACACATAATCTCTCACAAGGGGGCCCCGCTCTGTGCAGCCGGCCCTGGGAGCCCCGCAGGTTACACTGGGGTGCCCTGATATGCGGGAGAAGCAGGAACTTGACCCAGAGCAGACTCAGGGCAGGGAAGGGAAAGAAGGAGAAAGATCTCAGGGCACAGAGTGGACAGAGAGGAGACGGATGGATCTGGGGGTGCAGTGAGGAAAGAGGGGCTCCCCTTGGCCATCCTCACTCCCCTGCTGTCCCAGATCCCAGCTCACCTCTGGAGCCGGCTCCCCTGGCCCCATTCCCAGCCCCTCAGGGAGTCCCTCCACCCCAATAGCCCAGACCCTCCTCCCACTCACCAGGCCCAGGTGGCCCCAGAACCAGCTCCGTTTCAAGGACTCTGGGAAACATCGGAGACGGCGGCAGTTGTCGTAGAAGGCGTAAGCCCAGGCCAGGACACGGGACAGAAGCCAGGAGGCCCCGGCCAGCAACAGGAGCTGCCATGGGGACACTGCCACGGGCCCCAGGCCCAGCCAGGACAGGCCCAGCTGTGACATCCTGGGGACAGAGGGGAGAGAGGGTGGGTCCTGAGGACACGGAAAGGGCAGAGGGCTGCAGGGACAGCTCAGAGAGGGGAGGGAGACTTGGGGCAGTCCAGGACCAGGAAGACAAAGCAAAGGCGGGTAGACAGACAGACAGAGAGCCCACAAGTTCCCAGCCTGAATCATTCATTGCCAGGGACTTAATTACCCAGAAACCATGTCTCCCGGCCAACTTGCTCCCCAGAGCCACCCCAGCTTTGATCAGCAGCTCCCCCATCCCGGACCAGGGTCCCTTCCCGACTGTCTTCTCACCCCCAGTCCAGCACCAGCTACCAAAACGATGTCTTCCCCTCCTTTGGAGACTTTCTGCCCTGGACCCACACCAGAAAGAGCCAGGGCTGGGCTGGGCTGGGCTCAGGGAGGCTGGGTTGGGCCGGGCCAGCCAATCCCTGCAAGCCTGGCTGCTTTCTCCCGGCCTGGGCCTCCCGCCAGCACGTGGGCGGGGACTGGCGGGAGTTGGGAACCGGCTCAGCGTTGCAAGGCTCAGCCGCTCCCATGTGGGCCTGGGGGGGTGTCGAGGGGTGAATAGAGGTGACTGAACTGCGGCGCATAACAACCGCTTCTGCTCTTCCAAGGCCAGGCAGAGCAGATAAAAGCATGACCTGGAAAGTGCTCCCTGTCAGGGGAGCAGAGGCAGCCTCTGTCTTGTTCCAGACCTTCTCCCAGCCGCTCTCCCAAGTGTGGGCAGGGAAGCCGGTCCTGCAGAGAGAGAAGCCAGAAACCGTTGAGGCCTGGGGGCCAAGTAGCCAGGAGAAAATCCAAGTTCTGGGACCAGCAGTTGGCGAAATGGCTACATCACTGGACTCCCAGGTAGTCGACCATGGTTCAAGTCCCAGATCCGGTGGCTTAAACTCACGCCGGGTGCGTGTGCATGCATGCCCAAGATCCCGAGAGGAGAATGGAGGAGAAGGGATTGTGGTGTGGCCAGTGATTTCTCACTTTCTGTCTCTCTATCTCTCTCTGTCTCTCCGGTGAGCCCACGCACCCTATAGTAAAAACCTCTCAAAAAAAGAAAAAGCGAAGGAATTTTGCAGAGCTGAAGGTCAAGCGCCTGAGAAAGAAGTTTGTTCAAAAGATGCTTTGAAGGGCAAGGAGGAAGCTCATCTGTGAAAGAGCTCAGCACTTTCATAAGGAATATAGACAGAGGTACAGAACTGAGATTCACACATGGCCAGGATGGCAAGAAAAGCTGGTGACTTCTATGCACCAGCAAGTGACACGGTGGTTATGGCGCCGGACTCCCACATGGCTGATTACAGTTCAAATCCAGGGCCTGGAGTTTGCTCTCCCACTGTCCCTCTCTGTCTCTTTCTCTCTCTCTGTCTCTCTCTCTCACGAGCTCACATGCCCTATAGCAAATTTTAAAATAATAATAATAACTAAAATTGGGTGGCATGGTGGTTAGGGATTCTGGACTCCCACATAGCTGAACACAGTTCGAGTCCTGGACCTGGTGGCTTGCTTTCTCACCCTCCTCTCTTTCGCTCTCTCAGTCTGTTCAGGCTGTCCCTCTCTGGTCAAATAAAATAAATAAATAAATAAATAAATAAATAAAGGTAAATAAAATAGTAATAATAAATAAAATGAAAAATAAATCATTCTTTTTTTTTTTATTGAGAGGTTTTCGCTATAGGGCGCGTGCGTCTGCTAGACAGACAGAGAGAGACATAGAGACAGAAAGCGAGAAATCACCCCCCAGGGGGTATGGTCACGCCGCAATCCCTTCTCCTCCATTCTCCTCTCGGGATCTTGGGCACGCACGCACACACGCCCGGCATGAGTTTAAGCCACCGGGTCCGGGTCTCGAACCTCGGTCGACTACATGGGAGTCCAGCGACATAGCCATTACGCTAACTGCTGGTCCCTTTCTTTCTTTTTAAAAAAATGTATCATTATTATTTTTTCAAGAATTATTTTATTTAAATTTATTTAGTTTTAATTTGATCAGAGAGGGACATAGTGCGAGAGAGAGAGGACACGCCAGGACGTGTACATACAACCACCCACACGCACCCAAACGCACACGCGGTCACACACAAGCTCACACAAGCTCAGGCCCAAGCACGTGCAATGCTCGATTTCTGAGAGCTTGCTGTTCCCAAACCGTCCAGCAGAGGGAGCGTCCTGCACACGCAAGAGAGGAAGGAACGCAGTAGCCAGGGAAGTTTAGAGAATTAGGCGCGCAGGTGTAGCAGAGTCCGGGGCCCCACGCTCCACGTCTCCCCATGCTCCCCTCATTTGACCCTTGGAGGAAACTCAGCGTGCATTGCAAGCATTTCGATCCTGTAAAAGCCACAAGACGAGAAAACCGAGGTGTAGAGAGGGGCTAGAGGTGCTTGGCGCACGATGCGCCCTTGGAGACTCAGCTGGGAGGAGGATGTGGGAAAGACACCGTCACCCAAACCCAGGTGACTCTCGTTAGGGTCCAGGCCGCTCTCGTTAGGGTCCAGGCCCACGCTAGGGTCAGAGCATTCAGGCCGACGATCCCAGGACTAGCCACCAGGGGGCGCCCCAGGACAGGCGATGGCTTCAGCGGCAAACGTCGGGTACAACTCACTTGGCTCCTATGTGCTCCCCACTCCAATCCCTGTAGACACTCGTTTCTAGGCAGAGAGGCTAGGGACCTGAATTAGGAGCTGGGAATGGAGTAAAAAAGATTCTAGCTGAGGCCTCCGACTTTAAGATATTATTATAGGGGTTGGGACTGGCAGGTGGTATGGTGGTTAACGGTGCTGGACTCCCACATGGCTGACTGAGGTTCGAGTCCCAGACCTGGCGGTTTGCTTTCTTACTTTCTCTCTCTCTCTCTCTCTCTGTCCCTCTCTGGTCAAATTAAATAAGTAAATAAATAAAGTTAAATAAAATAATTCTTTTTTTAAAAATGTATTATTATAGGAGAGACCATTAGATAGCATAATGGTTACATTGCTGGACTCCCTCATAGTCGACTGCTGTTCGAGTCCCAGACCCAGCGGCTTCACACTCATACAGAGCACATGTATGTGTGTGCCCCAAATCCCAAGAGAAGAGTGGAGGAGAAGGGATAGCATCGGGGCCATTCTCCCTGGAGGGTGATGTCTCGTTTTCCGTCTCTCTCTCTCTCTGTGTGAGTGCACATGCCCTATAGCAAAAATCTCTCTCTCTCTTTTAAAATAATTACTTAATTTTACTTGTTACTATTTTTTAATTTGACCAGAGAGAGAGAGAAACGGAAAATGAGAAATCAAGCCACCAGGTCCAGGACTTGAACCACAGTTGACTATGTGGGAGTCCAACACCCTAATCACTATGTCACCTGCTGACCCCAGCCCCCCAAAAAAGTTATATATATATATATAGGGTTAGGGTTAGGGTTAGGGTTATATATACTATATATATATATATATAGCATTATAGGATTTGGCAGTGAAGGTCAACAGGTGGCATGGAGGTTAAAGCACCTGACCCCATATAGCTGACTATGTAGTACAAGTCCCAGAAAATTAAGAACACACTGGGTGCATGTGTGTGCATCTTTAATATTCCTACAGGGAACCAGCAGTTGGCGTAATGGCTATGTCGCTGGACTCCCACTGGTCGACCGTGGTTCGCATCCCGGACCCGGTGGCTTAAAACTCACGCCGGGCGCGTGTGCGTGCGTGCCCAAGATCCCGAGAGGAGAATGGAGGAGAAGGGATTGCGGCATGACCATCCCCCCTGGGGGGTGATTTCTCGCTTTCTGTCTCTATATCTCTCTCTGTCTGGTGAGCATACACGCCCCACAGTGAAAATCTCTCCCCCCAAAAATATATATTCCTATTTCAGTTATTGCTCTGTCTAGTTCCCACAGCCAAAGACTATCACCCTTACTGCTTCCTTCCCCTCACTGCTATGGTCATCCTAATTCAGACTCTCTTGTCCCGCCTGGCCCTCCGTTTCCCTCTTTGTCAGCATCACAACCCCTAGCATTCTCCCACAAGCCACCTCCCTGCCAGCTCCAGATCTGGGCACATCCTGCCTGCTCACACACCTGCCATGGCTCCCTACTGCCCTGGACGCATACAGTTCACACATGGGATTCTTTCTACCATCTGGAATTCTGGCCACAGCCCCTTGTCAGTCCCTCACACACTCACACACTCCATGCTTTCCCTCAACTGGGAGCATTTGTAGATTTCATTCTTTCTGTCTAGAATCCTCTTCCCTCCCCCCTTGTGAGCTGTTCATCGCCTACTTCATCCGAGACTTTCTCTGTGACTCATCCCCCAGCACCCCCACAGTTACATTCACCGGGCATGGGTTGTAAATTTCTCTTCTTTTTTAGATTGCTATAGGGCGTGTGCATGTGCAGGAGAGAGACCGAGGGCAAGTGAGACATTACACCACCTGGCTGGCCCAATGGGTTGTAAATATTTATGTGAGAAATTATTTGTTCAACATTTCCTCCACTCTTGCAAGGGCGGGAATTGGACCTGCCTGTGCTCCCTGGCCCAGAGCCAGCAAGCAATTAACCCGTGATCTGTTGAAATAAATGACAGCAAGAACCATCCCCAAAGAATGAAGTTTATGTCCTGGGACAGATGGCATCTCACCATCCTAGTCCACAGCTCCCTTGTCATTTCCCAACCACCCTGCAGTTCTCGTTTGCACCCAGGGTTCCAAGTGTAACCGTCTGGCTGGGCAAGGGGATGACAGGAGGGGGCTGATTGATGGGAACCCTTTTATTCTGCAAAAATCAGAACATTCAGCAAAGGGCCTTTGAGCAAGGGAGGAAGAAAGGGGCTTGCGAGGTTCTGGGTTTTACAAAACAACACAAGCAAACAACCAGAGCCCTGGAATTCAGCCCGACGGCTGGACAGTCCGTTCACACCAGCTGAGGTCATCCACGAAGGTGAGGTCCAGGTTCAGGGCGCTGACCTCAGGCTCCAGCTTCCAAGTCCTCAATTTAGAAGCCAGTCCGAAGTCAGCCAGTAGGGGGAGGTCTTGAGTTAAAGAGGTGGGTCTCAGGTCTTGGAAGACCCGGTGGGCGGGGGCCTGGCTTTTCCAGGGGGCGTGACCTGAGCCCGAGGGGGCGTGCCAGAGCCAGGTCCCTCGAGCGGATAGGCAGGGGCGAGAACCCAGGAGGCGGGATCAGCCACGCAGGGGGCGTGGCCTTGCCTTGAGGGGCGTGACCAGCGCCAATAGACGGCTCGACAGCGGAACCTGATCCTCCAGCCCCGAAGCCTGGACTTAGAGGGGCGTGGCCTATGCCTTCAGGATCTTGGGGGCGGGGCCTGGTCCCTTAGGGGCGGGGCCTTGTCCTCCGGGGGCGGGGCCTAGATCCGTGGCATCCGCAGGTGCGCTCTGCGCTCATGCCCGTGGAGGCAGGGGCTCCACGTTGAGCCAGATTCCATTCTCCGTCCGTAGGATGAGCTCCGGCTTCCGCCGCACCTTGCGCGTTCGGTCCACGCTCAAGCGGAAGCGCAGCAGCGTCAGCGCCACGGCCACGCGCATCTCCGCCATGGCGAAGCTCTGTCCAATGCAATTCCTGGAGGAAAGGGGTCAGGGGTTAGGCCCAGGTACTGTGTGACAGGGGCAGGGGAGGGCTGTCCCTGGGCCTCACCTTCCTGTCTTTAAAATGGGGCAAGCAACCTGAGCTGGATGGGGGGGGGGGTTTCAAGCGATAGCCCCGAGAATCGCGCAAGCGTTGTGACGGTGGAGTCAAGCGTTTGAATCCTGGTGCAGCCTCTTACTAGTCGCATGTCCTGGACAAATGACCTCTGAGCCTCCATCCCCTCATCTATAAGATGGGGACAATGACAGCCTAGAGCTGCTGAGAGCCTGTGAGCTCAGAACTCAGAGAACTCAGGCCCTAGCACACACGTGGTGTTTAATGGTATTGCAGAGTCCGACCGGGGGCCTCTTGGTGCATTGGGGTGGGGAGAGGGTACTAGGCTGGCAGAAGGGACCTAGGTAGGACCAGGTCTCTGCTGGGGCAGTCCTACATCTGGCTTGGACTCAGGGAAACAGAGGCGTTACCTGGGTCCTGCAGAAAAAGGAATGAACGCCAGTGGGGAGCGCTGCTGGGGGTTTTCCGGGTCAAAGCGATAGGGGTTGAACACCTAAAGAAGAAACGCCTTGGGTGAGGCTGGGGACTGGTTCGGCCATCTCAGCCTGGCCCCCTTCCTCAGCCTTTGGAGACTTGTTTAGCTGGGTGGAGATCCCCTCAGGGCCACCTCACACTCCAGACAGTCCAACCACCCCTTCCTCCTGCAGGTGCACCAGGCTTACTGCCCCCTCAGGGCCTTTGCATGTGCTGTTCCTCCACCTAAAACACGCTTCTTTCTTTCTTTCTTTTTTTTTTTTTTCTCAGGGCTCAAGTGTGTGTGCCCTACTTGCCAGTCGTGGCTTTGGGCAAGTTGCTTAATCTCTCTGAACCTTATCTACAAAATGGGGACAATAATGCCACCTCACACTGTCAGAATTGATGACATAACAAATTCCCATTTCTTTCCTCCCCCTTTCTTGGGCACTTGGTAAATTGCAAATCCCAAATTGTGCAAAAGAAGGAAGCAAGCCAGACTATGAAAGAGAGACATTGTATGTCCGCACTTAATATATACCGAATATCCACACTCTATGGCAGAAACTGAAAGCTTGGAAGATACAAAAGCATGGAGAACAACTGAGGATACTAAAGGTGGTGTGGGAGGAGGATGGGGAATGGGGGGAGGTGAGAAGAAGGGAATCAAGGGGAAAAAGAAAGAAGCAAAACATTTAGGGGACACAAAAATGGAAAATTATCTATTGGTGATAGCGTGATACTATCTTTAACTGGACGAATATACAGCGTATTTATGCTGGGAAAATTCATTTTATAAACTGTAATAAAATATAGTGATTGAATATATAAAATAAAATGATAAAAAATTATCTACGTAATTTTTTAAAAAGAGTATATAATCATGTGTTGCTTAATGATAAGGATACTTTTTTTGTTTTGAGAGGTTTTTGCTATAGGGCGCTCACCAGAAAGACAGAGACAGAGAGACAGAAAGCAAGAAATGACCCCCCAGGGGGATGGCCACGCCGCAATCCCTTCTCCTCCATTCTCCTTTCGGGATCTTGGGCACGCACGCACATGCACCCAGTGTGAGTTTAAGCCACCGGTTCCGGGACTTGAACCACAGTTGACTACATGGGAGTTCAGCAACATAGCCATTACGCTAACTGCTGGTCCCTGGAACACGCTTCTTCACACCCCTCAGGTCTTAGTTCAAATAGTTCTTCCTCAGCAAGGCTTTTCCTGACCACCTGAACTAAGGTTCTCCCCACCTGGCTATTGCTGCTCTGTATTTATCAAGACCGGAGAGACCAGCAGATGGCATAATGATTACATTGTTGGGACTCTCACGTAGTCTACCACAGTTCAAGTCCTGGACTTGGCGGCTTAAAACTCACACCAGGCACGTGTGCGTGTGTGTCCCAATTCCCGAGAGGAGAACAGAGGAGAAGGGACTGCAGTGTAGCCATCCCCCTGGGGGAAGATTTCTCGCTTTCTGTCTCTCTGGCAAGCCCATGAGCCCAATCGTAAAAATCTCCCTCTCAAAAAAAAAAAAAAAAAAAAATTTCAGGGGAACCAGCAGTTAGCATAATGGCTATGTTGCTGGACTCCCATGTAGTTGACCTCGGTTAGCGTCCCAGACCTGGTGGCTTAAACTCACGCCAGGCGCGTGTGCGTGCGTGCCCAAGATCCCGAGAGGAGAATGGAGGAGAAGGGATTGCGGCGTGGCCATCCCCCCGGGGGGTGATTTCTCGCTTTCTGTCTCTATGTCTCTCTCTGTCTGTCTGGCGAGCGCACGTGCCCTATAGCGGAAAACAAAAAAATCAGTACCCAAAATGATCTAATTTATTTGCTGTCTTCCCCAGAACTTCACTGTGAGCACTGTGAGAGCAAAGACAGTCTCATCGTCTGTCCCCAGTACCCAGCACACGGCAGGCGCTCAGTAATATTCGTTGACCAGCAGCCAGCAAGTGACGTGGTGAGTAAGGCACTGGACTCTCACAGGGTTGACCATGGTTTGAGTCCCAGATCTGACAGCTTATTTTCTACTTTCCCTCTCTCTCTGGTGAGCGCACATGCTCTATAACAAACTTAAAAAATAATAATAATAGGGGGCTAGCAGGTGGCATGATGGGCAAGGTGCTGGATTCCCACAAGGCTGACTGTGGTTCGAGTCCCGAACCTGGCAGCTTGCTTTCTCACTCTCTCTCTTTCACTGCCTCTCTCTGATGAGCACATGTGCCCTATAGCAAATGAAATAATAATAGATGAATTCATTTTTAAAAATGGGGGCAGGGACCAGCAGTTAGCGTCATGGCTATGTTGCTAGACTCCCATGTAGTCGACCACGGTTCGCGTCCCGGACCCGGTGGCTTGAAACTCACGCCGGGCACGTGTGTGTGCGTGCCCAAGATCCTGAGAGGAGAATGGAGGAGAAGGGATTGCGGCGTGGCCATCC